AAGGAAGGAAGGAAGGAAGGAAGCAAGGAAGGAAGGAAGGAAAGGAGATTGAGGGAAAGTAAAATAACAAGACAGACAGAAGGAAAGAAAGAAAATAAAAAACCGAAGGAATAAGTAAATAAAGATGGAACACGAAAATACCCAAAAAAGTCTTTTAATAAAAAGGCGCAGACCAAGGATGTACCGAATGTAAATGCCAACCTAACAACTTTGCCAATTAAAAAATAATAATTTTAAACAAGTGCATATGCTTGGGCAGTTCATGTGCAGCGGAAACAAAATACGGACTAAACTACTCCTTGGAAGCCCTTAGGCAGTTCTTAGTCTAGCTAATTAAGCAAATTTCTATTTTGAACATTAAGTTTTCAAAGAACTTTCTACCGCAAGAAACACGAGACGTTTTACATATACATTGTGAATAAACCTCATGTCAAACTGTCTCTCGAGCAATCAAATAAAAAACCACTATTGTTTGGATTTCTTCTTTTTTTGTGGAAGTGTCAGACATACACGTAGACAATGGACCTGACAATGGACATGGAGAAGGTGTAAGGGACTTGATTCAAGCTTTAGGGTGGAATACTCTGAGTACCCAGCGAGAAAAACATAAGGTCATTTTAGTTTTCAAATCTTTAAATGGCCTTACTCCCGATTATCTGAGTTCCAAATTTATTAGCAGGGATGATAGAGTGACVACAGTAAATCCGTGAAACTTTAGTAATACTAAATAGCACAATTTCATGCAAATTCCATTGTTTTCTGTTGTTTAACTAGCACTATCTTGTACTATTTAGTAATTAGTGTTTCACGGATTTACTGTGGTCACTCTACAAACTCTTACTCCCTATGTGGTTCCGTTAACTAACTAACTGTTTCTCTGCCGTGCACTAATTACCTTAAAAAAACATTTACCTATAGTGTTGTTGTTTCATGGAATAGCCTATCTAGCGATATTCGTCAAGGCGCAATCGCTTAGTGATTTCGACAGCTTTTAAACAAATCCACAATCTAAATAATTAAGCGCGGCATTCATGGAAAGTAGGTTATTTATTTATTTATTATTAATTATGTATTTCTATATTATTAATTAAGGTATTTTAAGCACTGTATTTATTACATTATTTAATATTTTTCGTACATATTCGACCTGATGTTTTTACCGTGTCAAGATAAAAAATATAATCTAAGAACGAACGCCC